GAATACAATTATTTTTCCAGTCCAGCACTGTCAGAGAGGTTTTGTTGCTCGTATAGGCACAAGGGCTAGAAAAATGAAAAACAGACTTTTTTCCCACGACCGGCAGCACACAGACAAAGCTAACATGTTAAAACAAGGTAAATACTGTTTATTTATTTTAATAATGTATTTATATAGGCCTACTACCCCACACTGGCAAATATACAATACAATTACATTGAGATGATGCCGGTTCCAAAAAAAGGCCAACAGGTGAATAATCAAGGCACCACTGATACTGGCCAATTCCGAATTGCACAGGTAACACGAGAAAAAAAATATAAAAATAGGACAAATTTTAAAATGTAAACTGAAATTTGAAAAATAGAACTCTATACATAAAATAATAACACATTCTCAATAAGAGACTTGCAAGAATTGTGCATAGTGGTGAGAAATTTAAAATGGGTGAAATTTGGCACAGCGGCAACACGACAGCCAGCTACAAACGGTGTTTACATTGAACTTACTTCATGATAAAATAATGTTATACTTTGTTTTGCTTGAAAGTGTGAGTTCGTCATGGGTATGTGGTTAAAATGCAGTTTAGATGTGTAGGTTGATTAATCAATACATTGTATAATTTTGACCATGATTACAATGTGTCCATCGATAAGTTACACAAATTAAACAAATTTTGTATAAGTTAGAGTTTTACATTTTACAAACACGAGTTACCGCTAAATTAAAACAGATTAAAACAAATATTTATTTATTTATTTAATTATTTATTCAGCTATAAAAGGAAACATACAAATGGTAGCCGAAGACTGAAATGAATGTATTTACAAAAATAGAATATATTAAAAATGCAAGAATATTAAAAATATTATATAGGCCTATAAAATTGCAACTGTGTCGGTATTAATTCTAAAAGAATAGAAACATTTCGACAGACGTTTGTATTATCATTGTAGACACTGTTATAGTAGCGCAAAAAGTTTGAAAAAGAAAAACGTACAAATGTCTATCAGAGAGCAAAATGTATGTTGATCATAACAAAACTGAACTCAAAGTTAAGTTGGCAGAATGTTAATATAGACCCTTTGGCGGGACTGACAGGTTTAGGGGACGGGGCTCCATGGCCCCTCACTGGATCCGCCCCAGTGTGGAAGGGTGTATAGCTTGGTGTTAGGCTTACAGTATATTACCTAACAGCTTTTGAGCCGCCTGAAAACTAGCGTTTGTTCTTTTCCCACTTGTCAATCTCAGCATGTATTTGAGTTGACTTTCTTCAATATTTTATTCATTCCATTCAGTACCATTCAGGTATGGATTGATAACATTTATTTTGTAAACCATTGACTGAGGCTAAAATAATTTTAACTTAGTATTTATGTACTAATCAATAAATTGTAATCAACACTTCGTGTTACGGCTTACTAACAAAAACAAATAAGCCTATATCAGTAAAAAAAAAAACAGATTTTGACCAATTTGTTTTCAAAAACACAAAAAATAGCCCTTCAATTATCCCTGTAAAACAATGTTAATAATAATAATTTTAAAAAAAAATAAGAAGTAGTATTGGATTGTCTCGATACACTCAATATATTATTATAATAGATAATATAATGTATAATTATTATAATATATTAGACGGCCTGCTTGGTGTGTAGTATTTTTAGGTCTCGTAGAATCTATGTATGAGGTATATAAACAAATATTGACTACTCTAGATTCCTGGAACGGTGACATCCAGCCCCTCGGTGATGTGTGGAGACTGTAAGATATGTGTCCACATCACCTTGAGGCAATAGATTTCACCATTCCCTTCATGAGCAGTATAATAATAATAATAACACTAATAATATTTGAATACAATTATTTTTCCAGTCCAGCCCCGTCGGAGAGGTTTTGTTGCTCGTATAGGCACAAGGGCTAGAAAAATGTTTAACAGACTTTTTTCCCACGACCGGCAGCACACAGACAAAGCTAACATGTTAAAACAAGGTAAATACTGTTTATTTATTTTAATAATGTATTTATATAGGCCTACTACCCCACACTGGCAAATATACAATACAATTACATTGAGATGATGCCGGTTCCAAAAAAAGGCCAACAGGTGAATAATCAAGGCACCACTGATACTGGCCAATTCCGAATTGCACAGGTAACACGAGAAAAAAAAATATAAAAATAGGACAAATTTTAAAGTGTAAAACTAAAATTTGAAAAATAGAACTCTATACATAAAATAATAACACATTCTCAATAAGATACTTTCAGGAATTGTGCATAGTTGTCAGAAATTTAAAGTGGCTGAAATTTTGCACAGTGACACGACAGCCAGCTACAAACAGTGTTTACATTGAACTTACTTCAGGATAAAATAATGTTATAATTTGTTTTGCTTGAAAGTGTGCATTCGTCATGGGTATGTGGTTAAAATGCAGTTTAGATGTGTAGGTTGATTAATCAATACATTGCATAATTTTGACCATGATTACAATGTGTCCATCGATAAGTTACACAAATTAAACAAATTTTGTATAAGTTAGAGTTTTACATTTTACAAACACGAGTTACCGCTAAATTAAAACGGATTAAAACAAATATTTATTTATTTATTTAATTATTTATTCAGCTATAAAAGGAAACATACAAATGGTAGCCGAAGACTGAAATGAATGTATTTACAAAAATAGAATATATTAAAAATGCAAGAATATTAAAATTATTATATAGGCCTATAAAATTGCAACTGTGTCAGTATTAATTCTAAAAGAATAGAAACATTTCGACAGACGTTTGTATTATCATTGTAGACACTGTTATAGTAGCGCAAAAGTTTGAAAAAGAAAAACGTACAAATGTCTATCAGAGAGCAAAATGTATGTTGATCATAACAAAACTGAACTCAAAGTTAAGTTGGCAGAATGTTAATATAGACCTACAGGTTTGAAGGCAATTTCATATAAACTAATTGTTATTAGTTTGAAAGCATTGAGGCTGGAGTGTACTGCCTAGTAATGGTACTTTTTTATATGATATGCTTCAATTTTGTCATGGTTACTTTAGGTTTTGTAGATGACGCCGTAATTACGACTGTATCTGAGGAAATGAACAACAGCTGGAAAGGTTTTGGTGTCCGTTTAGGTCTTTCATGGGCTAGAGTTAAACGGTTTTGGACTGAAGAACAGCGGGACTCACAAAAAGCTATCGCTAATATGATGGAGTATTGGAGGAACAATGCCAACAATGAAACGCATCAACTGAAAGTGTTGTGCACTGCTTTGAGGCAACATGGGTGTAAAAGTCTAGCTGGGAAATTATTCAGTGGTGATCTCGGCGACGAAATTCTGTCCTTAGCCAAACATGAAGGTGAGTTGTAGTGAGAGGTATAAGATTGAAAATATGATGAATTACTGGAAGAGCAACCTCAGTAATGATATTCATCAATGTAAAATGCTGTGCACTGCTCTGAAACAACATAAGATCAGGAAACTAGCTGAAGAATTATTTGAGAGTGAAATTGGCAATGAAAATCTTGACACTCAAGAAGCAGGTAAGTACCTCAAGGAGTTCAAAAATCGTATTGGAAACCCTTTTTTTCTACAGCTTGTTTCTATTTTGTTAACACGTAAACTAACACATAGTAACAACAGATGTCAGTTACAATTGTTTTTTATTCATTGCATATCATCTATGTTTTCTAATTAGGAAAATGTTTTAATGATCAAGATTTGCTGTTCATCTGTGACAAACTGGATCCCGAATCATGGAGGAGACTGGGAGTGCGTCTTGGACTCAAATGGACCGATATAAAAAAGATAGCAAAAAACAACAGACTGGTTGAAGACCGCATCATGGAATTGCTGGTTACTTGGAGGGATGACCAATCAAAGTGCCAACAAGTACCAATCATGGTGAATGCTTTGAGACAACAGAAGTTTGTTGGACTTGCACAACGTGTATGTGAAAGGCATGGTTACAGTGACGAGGCAGAAGTTGCACCAACTCAGATAAATCTGCCCCAAATTCCAACACCCGTGCAAGGTTAGTAAAATCTAATAAAAAAAAAAATACTGCTGTTCTCCAAATGTAATACCATTTTTGCACATCCTGAGAAACATTGCTAGCACGATCCCGATGCATCAAGTTTTATGCGCTTTTATACAAATAAATATATTTCAAGATTATTTTCTTCTTACCTCTTGTCACTTTGCAAACTTGCATGATCACTGGACCCTTCAAATTGATTTGATCAAACTTGACCCCTGTTGTAATATAGTTGAGAACTCCTTGTACACCTGTCTCTTATACACATCTAGATGTGTATAAGAGACAGACATAGGCCTAATGGTAAAAATAGA